CGTTCTCTGATCTGCAGCCAAGGCCCTGCAGCTCTCTCTCTCTCTCTACGTCCGACTCATTCTCACCTTTTCTCTCTGTTCCTGTCTGCCTCATCATCTGTCTGACACTCTGGACTCAGAAAAATATTAAATCTTTACTAGTTAGGAGAAAGGAGAATATGCAGACTGGTTGACCTGATTTTATATAGCATGTTGCTATATTGTTAATAACAATCCGCCATGACCTGACGGGAGAGAAAGATGAGCGAGTTTGTATCGTGTGTGTGTGTATATGGAAAGAAACAGACAAAGAAACGACAGGTAGTCACTCTCAGCTTTTCTACCTCTCTGACTGGGTTGCTATGGAAACGGCTCACTCAAGAGGTGGTCTGGCCATTTTTTTTTTTTTCGGGTCTCACCATCAACACCTCCTCTTTTCTACAGCGAAAAGATAATTACTCTCCATCCTGGTTCTCTGACGCCCCAGGATCGCAGTTGCGTTAGCAGTCCTGCTCGTTCTTCAGGTCAAAAGGAACCTGCTCCTTTCACAAATGATCAGGGACACACTATACGACTTATAACTGGGAACCACAACAGTGGATGGAGAGAAGGAGGAGGATTTTACATGTGACACACACCTTGGATAGTTGGTAGTGTTATCAGGGCTGAAAGAGGCTTAATTCAATGGCAACGTATCAAACTCACCACTTTTAAAAATTGTACGTCTTAAGGTCAATAATCTAATAACATGATTATGATTCCATTGTGAATTTTACCTTGGTCTCCCTTTATATTTCAAATAGTGGTTATATCCTTTTTAAATGAAACCCTGCAAGTGCAGAGAAAGAGATGGAAGGACAGCCCTCCTTTTAAAACTGAGCGAGCCAGTCAGCTAGTTATCACCCCAAAATGGCCCTTTAATTAAAAGCAGGAGGTAATGAACACGCCTGGGAGTCTGATTAGCTGCTAATGCCGCTTGCTGTGAGTTGATGGGCGCCCCCGTCTGCCCTTTTAAAGCTGCACTGAATGGCACACTTCTGCATTACAGGAAGCCACAAGCCACAGCAGCACGACTGCTACCTCCGGTTAAAAAACTGTAGCACCTTGGGATCCAGAGCCGGATGTGGCTTTGAAATTCATACTGTGTAAGGGTTGTTAATTAATATGTCTCAGATTAGGTACATTTGAAATGTAATATAAACTACTGAACAGACGTCCACGAAATTTGGTGGAAGAAAGAACCTGAATTACATTTTGATGTGGATCTGGACGGATCCATGGATTTTTTTTTTTAAGTTTTCACTCTTCATTCATAGATCTTGATAAAAAAATAATTAGGCAATTTGTGCTTAATTTAGTGCAGCTTGATTAAAAATAATTCTTGGTTTTAGTCTGTCAGACATCTTGTCACGACTTTACTCTGTTTTTTATTTCCTGTTTTGTTTGGACATTATTTTCCCTGAGCATCCATTGTGTGTTTTTTGTTTTATTTTTCCTGTCTTAATGTTTTTGTTCCTGCCGTGACTGGTTTCACCTGTTCCCTATTTTCGTTTCCTGCCCTGTGTATTTACGTCTCTGTGTTCCCATCACTCAATCTTCTGCATTTACCTCCCCTCAAATATGTGTCTCCATTCTGGTGTAGAACGTCTAAAAGAAGTCGGCTCATATAGAGTGACCCACTATAAAACAATCACGGTGTCGCCCAAAAGCTCATCGAGGCGCGGGCAGTAATCCAACCATCCACGGCACGCCAAACAATGAGCAAATCTCTCCAAGTCTCTTAGTCGTTTTTTGTCTAGGATACAGTAATCCCCTGGTCTCTGTGCTGCAGTGTGAGCATGCATTTGAATATATTAAAAAACTCCACGGAGAAAGTGATAAGTTGAACTTGAGTGGAATTTCACTCCTAAACCAGGCACTTATTAAGTTTCATGTGAAAGTTTTACCCAAGGTTGTTCAAAGAGTTTCACTGCGAAGCTCTCAGAAGTTAGAAAATTGGTTATCCTTGGTGTGCTGGTGTTCTTTAGCGAGCCTAGTGAAGTCTGTCACTTTCATCTTTAGAAGGAATATGTAAGTCTATATCTATATGTCCATGTGTGTATGTTGGAACACAACTTAAAAAGCATAAATTTAGGGATTTTAACATCCGTTCCTCTATCTTTGGCCATGTCCTCATCCATTACCGCTCGTATAGTGCATGCGTGACGATGCATAAAGTATCGTAGTACCTTCCAGAAGTTGTCAACCTTTCCGTAGACGAGCGACTGGTTCTGCCTCTTGATGTCGTCTATGTGCCTGATGTCGCTGGCATTGAGGTGCTGCTCCACTACGAAGCCCAGGAAACTGTTGTCTGGGGTGTGAGCTGCAACACAAACAGGCACATAAATAAATAAACGTAACGCTTGCATGTTTGGGATTAAACAGACTAATCAATCTGTCAAAGGCCTAATTTCCCCTCTTTTTAATGTGGTTCACAGCAAAACAAAGGACAGAGACAATATGAGAGAAATAGAAATGAGAACAAAAAGATGGTGATCACCTCTTAGGGAATAAAATAAATGACTTTGGGCAAAATGTAATCAATTTATGCATCACTGAGGCAAAATGGCCTGAATACCATCTAACACTTCTGCTTTTTCAGAAAATAAATCCCATTTTAACCTCAGCGTTGAGCACAGATCATAATTCCAGAGTGAGACAGTCACGGCTGAACAACACGACTCATCAGGCGCTCTGCGTTTTTGTTCCCTCCGTTTCTCGGTGCCCGGTAATGACTAGTTACTATGGGAACCACGAGACGAGCAGGTCAAGTGTGGAGCGCAGATTTGGCAGGGCTCTACCTCAATGCCATCTGCCTCGTAAAAAACAAATGTGAAGACAAGGTTATGGAGCAGGGATGGGGAAGATTAATAATTATACAATAGAATTGATAACGATTAATAACATTTGTTGTGGTGGAGCCCCCCGGGAGCTGTTGTGGTCGGAGCTCGCTTTTATTTATTTTTTTAACACTGCTACTACAGAAGCATACGAAGCTCAAGTCAGTGGAGCTGAGGGGGAATTGGAATTTGCTTAATTATAGCAAATAAAAGATTAATAGTACTAACATTGACTAATAACGAACATAATACACAAATAAAACCAAATGATCCAAATATTTCTGCAGAGATACAGTACCTGTATCACAACAAGTTTGCATAAATTTCAAAGTACCGTCTCAGGATTGTTAATTTATTGTCTTTTATAATGTATTACATTCAAATCTTGTTTCCATTCTGCTTGTCCCAGCATCATAACGCAAAGAGGAAACTTTCAGTCGCTGCCGAGCCGTTATCTCTCTCTGTATTATGTGTGTGTGGGAGAGCACAGGAGTGTGGGAGTATCTGTGATAAGGATCTGGGTGAGGTGTCAGCGTGGGCAGGAGCCAAATGCAGCAACTGCTCCTGAAATACCTGTAGTGTCTGTGTAATGCTGTGTGATTAAGCAGTAGCATTAAGGCAAACACAACACAGTGACTAGCTTAACAACGCAACAGGTCACAATGATTTTAAATATCACAGTCAACCGGGGGAAATAGTAGAATAACGACTTCTGTGGAGCTTTGTTAAGTTCGAGAAAATAATATTGTGGCCTAAGCTTGAGGCTTAAAATTTCAGGTGAACTCGTTTGTTGTTGTGTACCAGAAAGAGGAGGTCTAGTGAAAAAAAACTATCGAGCTGAATTGCATTTTCTGTTCGGAACAATCTCCCTGAGGAGATCCGTCTGGCAAACTCAGAATATCCTCTTTTAAATCTCTCTTAAAGACACATTTTTATAGGTGGACTTTCTGTATTCACCTTCAACTTTATATTTACATTTATTTAATTACTTTTAATTCCACTCTGACCATTTTATAATGTTTTACTTTATTCTGTTTTTAATCTTTTATCATCTGTAACCGACGCTTCAAATTGCTTTCAATGGTTTCATTGCTTTCAATTCCTCATGTTTATCTTGTTAAACACTTTGTAACTGTGCTTTGAAAGTTGCTATATAAAATAAGTTTACTATCTGATGATCTAAACTACTTCCAGAACAAAAACAAACATACCAGTACAACATCGGACATGATTACAAGAGGCAGAGATGGTTCAAAAGCAGGGTTGGGGTTAGGAGGAGGCAGCACAAACACCCATGTAACAAACTATCTGTGTAAACAGAGCAGGCTGTTGATTAGTGTTTGGCCCACTTGATGCATTTGGCAGCAGATGCCTTCTCTCCCACTGGAGCCGCCACTCAAAATGCCACTCAACTTGCCACAGCTTCATTCGTCATTAGCTAACAATCCGCCACGGAGGGTGGCATTGCCGGAGAAGCAGCTGCTTTGTGTGAGTGCAGGGACAGATTTACGTAGTAAGGAAGTCAGGGTTCGCTCTTCTTTGATTAGGAGTCAATATTGGTGCGACCTGGTCGAGCTGAGTGAAGGAAAGAGGTGAAGAAATGTTGACAATGGTTGACAGGGGATTTATTTTGTGCTCTTCCTGCTTTGAGTGAGTCAGTTGTTCTGCCAGCTCCCTTGTAAATGTGATGTCACCATGACCTTGTTTTTTACCACAAGAATCTAATCAGTTCATCTTTGAGTCCAATTAATCACAAAAAAATCTCCCAAGGCATGCGTGAGAAACTGTGTGAACGAGAAGTACGTAAAAACATCCAAATCGACACAAACAAGAGTGAAGTGTTCTCGTGTAGCACCACGTTTTCCAAAGTGTTATATAAAGTAGGTAGGAAGACAATTAGTCTTGCTATCTGTCTTTAGTTAAAACAATATCATTTATAACAATTTGTGTTTTCAGGTGTGGACAGAGGCACAGACACAAAAACACCTGTGTATTGATTCAGATTGAAATCTAAAAAAGTCCACAGTGAGTGGGTGGGCCGCCAGCAACACGATCCATCAAAGTTTTCCAACCGCTATCAGCCTCAGGGTCAATTGCACCTCTGTGGCAGAGCTTCAAAGATAAATATGATCTGCTGCCATGTTTGACCTCTGACCGCTATTTGTTATTGCTTCCGTAAGGGATTAAACATTCATCTACGCACAAGCAGAAACACTACGATGCTGTGACAGAAGACACACTAGAGTGTATGAACAAGTAAAGAGGCTTTTGTTGGCTCTCTGCAGCAAAGTGATTTCTCAAATCTTCTGTAAAGCAGTAAAATGGTCTTTAAGATTGAAGAGAAACCTGGTTAACACGACAGATTTCTTGGCCATGTACTGATTTAATGGGTTTTATTAGAGCTTGAGAGAGGGAGAGCATGTAGAGGGATTAATGAAAGGATCATTTTTCATAATCATCTTTGTTTTCAAAATAATTAGATAAAAATTCTGGATAAATCCATTTGTAGTGAGTGTACACTAACTACATTCGACTTAATAGAACTGGATTCTCCACGTCATTCCAACTTTCAGGAAAACTTAGCTGCATTATAGTTCCCAGCTCTCCTGATTATAAATAAGTAGTTCTGGGAAAAACATCCAGCTCAACCAAGACCATATAAACACAAATCATACACCAGAAAAAACACTCACTGCTACCAGACTCCAAGTTGGATTAATGAGGTCAATTCTGCCTTGTCTTGTCTTATTGGCCAGAGGCCAGTGACTCTCAATCCCCCCCACCAATGATTTATGGAGCAAAGTCTAATCATAACAAATGGACCAATCCAAATGTAGAATAAATAACCGACGGACACCTGATTTGTCCATTGTTGCAAAACAACAACAAACAACATTCAATAGGCCAATTGAAATATTATTTAAAAACGCAGGAATACAAATATAAAATCAGCTTAAAGGAAGTTAATACGTTTCAGTTGTGTTTGTGAAAATACAGGTTAAAGGCACTTCCACACAGTGGTGGAGGAAATACCCAAATATTTTACTTGAGTCAAATTATTAAGAATGTTCTCAAGTAAAAGTACCACAACTAAGTTTTCTACTTGAGTAAAAGTACTGGCTTTTGAATGTGCTGTAAGTTTAAAAAGTAAAAATACTTGCTGAGTGTATCCTATTACTGCAAAGGTCGACTACATCACAATGGCTGAGTCTCTGCAGTGACGGTAGCGCTGAAATGACATCGTGCAGTGAAGTCCACTGCACTGACAGAAACACACACTTCTACTTGAGTGTGCACACACTATTTGAGCCAGGACTGATACCAAAGAGAACCTTAGATAACTGAGTCAACACCCGTGGATATGTTAATGTAATATTCAGTTTGCATTGCGTGGTGCACAGTTCTTTAGCCTCGGGCTAAGTTTGTTGTGCAGCACAATGCAGAGAGGGGAACTCTTTCTCATCTCTCGTGTCTAGAGGTGTGGCCATTTTGTGGTTTTAACACTTCAAACCACTGTGCACTTGTTGCACTGGCGATACCATCTAACCTAGTGACTCTTGACTGGATCTTGAGCAAAGGCACCAGTGTGTTATGGGAAAGACGTACCCGAGTCAGAGGACAATGGGGCTATTCAGGTACAGTGGTATTCTGGAAAGCGCCGGGCCTCAAATCACAAACAGGGGCCGAAGGGATAACATTTCACTTTCTCTTGGCCATGGGGAAAAGGTCAATACCCCAGGGGGCTGTCTCCCCTCTCTGTGTCTCCTCTGCTGCGCTGCCACCGCTCATCCACCACAGCAAACGAGCTTGACTCCAGTTACAGAGTGATCTCACAGTCGGAGTGATGCTCACACAGAGAGCAATAAAACCCTGTACGACATTTATAATCACAGCGAAATGAAGAGCTGAGTGTCTGACCTCGTACTTCCCCCTAATCTGCTTGATGATATTCCATTAGCGAACACCGAGCAGGATTTTCAACCATTTATGCCTCTTTTCCAATGAAAACATCTCATTCGCAGGTGAAAATGTGAGACTTTATTCTGAGTCTGCCTCTGGCAACTTGATCTTATTTAAACAAGAGTGGAGAACTTCAAGTGGAGAATCCATCTCATACAGACTCCAATTTATTTGCTTGTGGCTCAACCACAGTGGTTTGGACCAATCAGGGACCTTAAAGCGAGGGAATGCTGGCAGCTAATCACATGTCTTATGAGTGACGAGTTGTTAAAAAAATGGTGGCTCCTAAAGAGATTCACAGCGTTGCTGCGGTAGCATCAGCTATATGAGAATCAGGGCTGTCAATCTTCCTGTATAATCACATTTCATTCCTTATTATTTTAATATCCCAGTGTTCTGTTGATAACCATTTTAACATCAAACCAGTATCTTTCACAAGAGTGAGAACATCTGTGTCGGCAGAAAGTGTCAGAGAGACGTGAAAAGATCAGTTAAAAGGCCACTTTATTCTGATTCAGGCTTCCATTTCAGTATTTTTTCACTGGAAGTAGAGCGAGGAACAGCACCCAAGGCTTTTCTAAAAACGAAAAGATGTTTTCGCTCACCTCCTGAATGACTTTGGCAACTGTGATATGCGATAACAGATGCATACAATCACCTGCTAAAGTATGTTTTGAAAGTGCCTGCCCTTTTTTCTCACAGTTTCCAATAAAGCCTTCCCACATGGTTCTGTGTAACAAACCAGCTGGTGTGTCATGTTGGCGGAACTTAGAGATGATAACATTTTTGAGAGTTAGGTCCAGCACAACTTGCTTGAAGAGCATTTTGGATGCATCAGGGATCTTTTTCCAATTACAGCATGTGATGATCTCTGAGATGGTTTTCATTACAAAAACTGAAGTGCTGCAGACAGGCCACAACTGCACCACATGTCCTCATTTTCTTTTGGTGATTTAGTTTACAGGCGCACTTTTGGTCAGAGTGAGTGTTGCCAACTTACGGAACATGGTGTTGAACTGCTGGGGATTGAGGTTCCACTTCCCCCAGGGCGTCTTGTGGCCCTTGGACTGGGCGTAGTGGGCGTGATTGAACTCCGGTTCCGTCCCGAACGAGTCCAGCACCCGCAGCATGCATCTGCAATGTCACAGACAGACAAATTGAATGACACATGGATGATAAGTTGACATCATCTATTTCTATCAAGTTTGATCTTTCAAAATCAATGAAACCCAGAAACACAACAATAAATCATGTCTACAGAAACAGAGTAAGTGTTGTTGTTATTGTATTACTTGCTAGAAGACAAACTGTGCACATCCAATGCACAAAATTAGAATTAAAGCCAAAAAACAGAGCTTTACCCACAATATTCGGCCAATACTCTACAGAGACGTCCAAGAAATAAGCCTTTAGTTAATTAACTTTACAACAATTTAAACCAAGCTCGCCTGAGGAGCTAGAAAATGAATGGTTGGGAAGTATTGTCACTTCAGCAAATGTAAGAAAGCATAGACTCACAATGACCCCAGGTATATGACCTAAAAATGTTTTTAATATTAGCTTCTGAGTGTTACAACAACTAAACATGACATTTGGACACAGGTTTTATTTACATGTGTTATAGAGTTGCGACATGGGAGTAGTAAATTTCAAATTCATTTTCCCCCATTAGCAACGTAGCATGACTCACAGCTGGATCACTTCTGCAGCTTGGATCTGCATGAAACTCTCCCACTTAGACTGCTCGTATAAAATATTAACAACTGTGAAAGAAAATATCTGGTTCTTCTCATTAAAAAAAAAGAAGAAAAAAGTCATGGGTAGCGGCCTGTGTGCACAGAGATAGACTTTAACTACCAGAAACATCAAATCAGCAAGTTTAAAATGCTGCTCCCTGCACTGCTGGGTCAGTTTGGGGGGAAATCGGTGAGAAAGCTCCGTCCTCACACGGAGAGATAAAGGCAGTCTGCACTACGGAGGTGTGAGACTGTGAATGAACATAATGTCTGACTCAAAGGTCAGCGCACAGGATTAATTAGAGCACAACCGGGAGAGGGAATGGTATATATGCTGAGAGCCGCTCACTCGTGACCTTTAAGTCCGCGCTCTGCATTCACTAACTCGCTCATTGTTACTTCTGTTTTCTAGATGCTGCTGTGATTGTGTCTGGTCTGGTGCTGTCTCTGGCTATTTACAAGTTTCATTGGGAAGACAAAGGGCCACAAATTACTAAATCTATTTCTCCCTCTCAAGCTATTAATCACAGTTTCTACTACAAACTTATTTATCTCCTGGGTAAAAAAAATCCTAAAAGGATGAGCCTGTTTTATTGGCCGTCTTGCCCAAGAAAAAGGATTTTCTTGTCGGTAAATAAAGTTAAGAGATTCTGTCTTTGGGTTGAGGTGGAATATTCAACTTGAATCCCTGGATAAGAGGAAGTCAGGTGTAAAAGACATGGACGCCAGGCGTATAAGCTCTCGCACAAAAATGCAGCGCAAAAATCCCCCTCTCTCACTAAGTGATTGTATCCCCGCCCAGGCAGATGCTGTGCAGCTGCTTGTGTGAACTGGGAAAGGCCCTGAGAGAGCGGAGAGCTGGGAAACATGTTCACCAGGAGGAAACTTTACACTGAAAGCAGCGTAACAACAACATGCTCACATTCCAACTCCACTGCCAAAACAACCCTCATCTGCCCTCGACAGATAGACCCTCAACAGATGGGGGCGGAACGCTGCCGCAGATGTAACATGATGTAAATATGGCTGCAGCGAGGCCAGCCACTTGACGGAGGGCGTGATAATAATGTGGCAGCGGCTGAGGTTATTCAGCTCATCAAGGTTGCACTTATTGGCACTTGCTGCGATATTGCAGTTGTGTGGGAGATGTTGCTTTTAAGGTAATTTCTCCACGATGTTTTCCAATAATGAAATAACAAAGCAGACTGTAACTGAAGTTTCTCCGCTGCCTCAGTTGCCTCCAGTGTGAAATCAGCAGTAAATAGAGCAGTCCCATATGGACCATTAGGTAACAGTAATATCAGATGGGAATTTTTGTGTTGTATGGCTCTGCCTGAGGGTCTATTACAAGTCTGCACACCCCTGAGGCTTTCCACAACACCTGGATGATAAACAGACATATGGCCTCTTTTATAAAAGCATTATATCTGAATTACAACCCAGCATTAAGATTTGGTTATTAAAGATGATTGTAGCTGGGGGAAAATATCTTCTCTGGAACTGTCATCAAGCTAAAAACGTCTGTTTTCATTTTACATTACTTTTGGATTACAGTCTATGTCTTAGCAATAAATTTCCCCTTTCAGCAACTTTGTTTTTTACTTGACAGACTTTAGTCTGAACTAAAAAAGGCTCTCTGAGCTAACGTGTTCTTTTTTCTTGTTAAAGACAGTGAAAAAACATCCAAGGATCAAGATGTTTTTCGTATGATTCACAACTTACACGACCACCAAAAGAAGTTGTCTTAACAGCACCACAAACACTGACGACATTCTGTGGGTACAAATACAACACAGATACGCACACAAGCTACATAACACAGGCTGGATTGTGTCAAGACAAAGTGAGGAAGTGACACATGGTTAAGAAGCAAAATGATGAAATCAAACTTGTGGAGAATCACAAGGCTGATGACTGAATTTACCGGTTTCATTTCTACATTATTGTTTTCAATACCAAACACTGAACCCAGTACATACTGACATGTTTTCTGCAGCAGGGCTTATACAGATGGAAGTGCATTGTCTGATAAGTTATTGGATGACGAAAGGATTAAACGAAATAGAACAACCAGGGCAACACTGGCTCTACTTTCTCCCCAGAACACAGTGGTTTAAAATAATGCCATTCCTTCACAGTACAGCAAGACAGACAGCAAAAAGGCTGGGTCAATAGCAAAACACATTAATCACACAAAGGCCTGGCAGACTCTCTGCTTTTTCCCCCAAACACAAAAAATAAACCATGACAAAGGGAATAATTATGACATATTTATCGTTGGAAAGAATTTGTGGTTAAATAAGCAAAGAATATATATAAAGAATATAGAATAAATAGCCGCAACCTCCCGTCTAGGTCTTATCTCACAAGGCTCCTAGACAACATGTAGTGAATAAAGTGCTCCAACATAACTGTTCTTTGATGGCAGGAGGAATAATTCAGAAAATAGCATCTGGACCTTACATTAGGCTCGAGGCTGAATCAATTTCCTCAGGACACAAAGGCAGCGGACGCACTTTGAGGTGTTGTGTCGCAGACAAACAAAACCTGGTGACAAGCAGGAGGAACCAGTGGGGCCATTAGTGCCCCCTCAGACTCTTCCTGTCAGACGGAGCTGATGAGAGCTTTTTTCAAAACAAACAAGGAAGGCCTCATTCGCAGTCCTCAGAGGAGCAATCAGAGCGAGAATAGACTCAACGGGTGAAGGAATCGCTCCTTCAGCCTTTTGGGAAATGATATGAGGAGAAAATAGAGTCATTGTCCCACCGACTGCGAGTCGAGCATCAACCTGATGCCCTTTGCCCGAGTGAGAGAGGCTCAGTTGGCAGCCGAAGCACAAGGTTAAACAAATGTACAAAATCGCTGGATTCACTGAGCGGCTGACGTGACGATATGAAGGAAACAAGAGAAAGACAGTAAGGCACGAGGTGATAAACCATCAACGGACCAGACCCAACTGAGCCTCAGCCAACAGTAGAACCTGGTGTGAAACTGCAGGGGGATTTGAATGGGACTGTGCACACTCAGCAAAACCTGCCTGAATAAATGATATTATAAAAAATGCACTTTGTGTTGATTCAGCAGGGTTTGCAACTGTCAAGCAGCAAGTGGTTTTATCCTTTGATAAATAATGTCCTTTACAAAAGTCAAACTGGTTTTTACTGTACAAGTGTTCGATCAGAATGAAATCCTCGTCATAGCTCTAGCCTCACACTCTAGTGGAAACAAACAAAAAACATGAATACCAGAATCCCACAACCAAAACTAAGAATAAGACGAGAGTGTGTTCAAAATAACTTTTAATGGTCATCAAATCAAATTTAATGGACCAACTTACTGGTAATGGACCCAGGAAGGTCCCAGTGTCTTCTTAAACTGGGTCAGTCCCACAATGTCGATGTAGATGAGCTCGACCACCTTGTCGCCCTGTGTCGGGCAACTGGACTTGTTCCCCATAACCTTCCGCATGATCCTGGGGATAAGATAAAAACTTAAAAACACAAATTGTACAAACTTGTAGAACGACCAGCTGCAACGCTACAAAGACACATTAAACGTAAACGGTAGTTTATCTACTGTTATTTCTGTGTTTCAAGTCGATTAAAGTCTCCGATCATTGTCTTGCATGTTGAAGGTGCAAAAAGTAATTTGGCGTGTGGTACTGACTCTTTGAGCTCGGCCAGGGAGGCTGAGATGCGAACGTCGTGGCCCAGCAGGTACAGCGTGGTGATTAGGTCACTCCACTGGACCAGCTCTCCCAGTGGGCCGCCGCTGAAGGCGTTTTCTGCAATCTTGAAGCCAGACTCTTTAGTCAGGAGGCCCAGGTGAACCAAGATCTAAAAGAGGAGGGGGGGGGAAATTTAGGATTCTTTTGTTTAAAGGCACAGCAACACCAGCAAAATGGTGGACAAATCATTCAAAGACATTGCACTGGTTTTGTGTATGCGACAGGATCGGGCTCAGTCCACTGTGCATTGGCTTGCTGCTCCCTCAATGCGAGGGACACGTAGACACTCACCAAATTTTTTGTAGTTTGGCTTTTTTGAAGCTAAAGTACTTATATGATTCTTCCTGTTTTATGGTTAAACCCTCATGGTTGAAAGCACTTACTGGAAGTCGCTCTGGATAAAAGCGTCAGATAAATGAAATGTAACGTAATGTGTTAGAAGAGAAATCTTTATGCCGGTTGGTGACGGTGAAAGCGGTTCAAGATGAGACAAACAATCAACCGAACCAGAACATGAACAACACACGCGCACACACACAATAACAAACACACGCAGGATGGTTTTTCAGTAGCTGAGGGGAACACAGTGTTCCACAGCAGGAGAAGGAAGTAATACCAGGCTTTGTTTGAAGTGACCAATGCATTTTTCATTGTTGACAGCCAGCCCCAGTCCCAGAGCACACTAGGATTAATATGTAAGGATTAATATCCAAAAGAGATTAGCTGCTGAAATAAAGAACTGGCTTGGAAAATATCTGGAGGGAAACACTCGTTGATTAATTACAGTATTTGTAGATTCAAATGAGAGCCAACGAAGGACCAGTAATATTCCACATTCATATGGATAGATAGACGAGGGGTCTTCGTTTTTTGCCTTGCTAAAGGGGACGCTGCTTTGAATCAGCACCATGGTATCGCAGGAATGTGACGTGAATTATTCACAAGACCAGTGGAAAGTGTGGAGTACATTATTCAGAGCTGGGAGCTGTTACCAGCTTGGGACACAATGGAATATCCATGTCAGGCCTCTCCCACCCTGAGCTCGAGTGAGCCTGACTATAAGTGTGAAGTGTGTGTGTCTTGTGGGGAGCTGTTTTTCAGAAAGTTCCTGGGTAACGTTATCCTGACTTTTCAGAAGCTAATTATAGACAATTAATCTTAACAACTTAATAAACTCAGTTATGATTTTTCATTTCGATCAAGCTTTGGAAAAACATTAATGCTTCAAACTGTTTCTGTGTGTTGTTTGCTGCTTAGTTTTAGACTCTGTCATATTTTGATATGGTATTCTGTCATCACCCAATTTATTACTTAAACCAAACACTCACAAAAAACCTTTTAATCCATTATTTTGAAAAATGCACCTAATAGGTCTTTTCTGAAAAAAATGCTCTGGCGTAGTGGAAGTGACACGTCATTTATCTAGTGGCTGGAACAATAATAGTTTTTTGCAATCAATAGAAACAGCTGTACAGTTAATAAGGACACAAACAGCGATTCTACCCAGAAAAAACTGAATAAAACCAAAGGAAAAAAGAACTTGCACTAATAAATTCATTGATTTGAGAAAAAAATTACAACAAAATGTTTCCAAGAGCCATTTCACTTGATTTCTCTATCATCATACGTGATGCCCACCTTCTTCCTCCGGCGCTTAGCCAGGTTCTGCTTGGCGGCCAGCGAGCGGATGGCGCTGACCCACGGCTCGGCCATGCGCTTGATCCTCAGCATCATCCAGCGGAACTCCTCCCGTTGTGACATCACCCGGTACAGCTCCTCGAAACTGGTGCGGAACTCGGCCTGCACACACAGAGACACCACAGAGTGTGTATGTGCTACAGTAAAGCCATAACCCGAAAAAATTATTTTCCCTTTTGGCAAATCTGCACATGAAGAGTGCATCTGTTTATCTGTGCAGCAGATAATGTGCTAAAGACTGTAACACTACGTCCTGCTTGTTTACCCGTTACTTGTTGTGTCATCTCCAACACTTCGGTTCATGTTGAGCTGCTCCCATCCCAAGGCGATCTTTAAAATTTAATCCACTGTCATTTAAAATTGCAATATTGACTTCTGCCGTTTCCAAATTGCCGACGGGTTTGGCAATTTCTTAGAGCGAGACCATTCGATTAGATCTCAGCTAATGCAACTAAGAGCCTCTGCTCAAAATTAAACCGTGCATGTTTAAGAATGAAAGCTTTATCCAATCTGACAAAATCTTATATTTAATCACCTAAGATTGGCAGATGGCTTGAAAAGAGAGAGAGAAAAGAAAGTGGGGTTACAGATAGATGATTGTTGAATGTTGCACCTTCTGTGTGGCCTATTTGTCCAACACAGTTTGTGATGCTGGATTTAAAGTGGTTTTGTTGAGGTGATAATAACCGTCATAAACTGTCTCCCCTGAGAGCAAGACAACGAAGAAAGCTGAAAAGTAAAAAATGCTGAATCCAGGAAGGCAGAGTACTGTATGGTGAGAGGATGTAGAAATACTTTGAGCATTCAGTGAGGAGAGGTGAAAATAAAGATGTTTAGGTGGCTATAGGACATATTTGGGCCCAGTTTATCAAAATGTTTAATAAGTGAGATGTAAAAAAGGAAAAACCATGCTGCACTATTTCCTTCCTGTCTTCTATGAGCATGTGACTAACTGGAAGTGCGAGTACCATGATAGAGAATAAGGAAATGAAACTGAGGTTACTTCTGGCCAGATTATTATGAATATTAATAAGAAAATGCCACAAAACATGCTTTACTGTAATATGACCTCATCTGAAAGATGTTAAGAAAAAATATTAATACTTTTCATTTCTCTGTTTCAGATATAGAAATTCAAGGATTCACCGAGGAGAAGCAGTGAATGAGACGGTGAGAGAAAGACGGAGCGAGCGCGGGAGAAAGAGCGGAGCCATTACCGACTCCGAAGGTGTCTGAAACAAGGCTGTTGCAGGGCATTAGCATCCCTCATCGCGACAGGAAATCGCTTCTGCAGACCGAACCTATTAAAATCCGGGGCTGGAATTAAAATCTCCAAAGCCCGTCAAATGGCATCTCGCCGCCACGCAGGACTCTGTGTTGCTGATGCATCCAGAGGGAGGGGGGATGAAGAGTGCTTAATATTGATTCACCCCTTCCTAGAGAGAAGCCTGTGTGTGTATTCGAGGAGCGCTGATGCTGTGGACTGTGCACAAGCCTGTCGGCCTCGGAGAAGCCCTTTAAGTGGGATTTGAGAGAGCATTGGCAGGGATTGAAGATCATTATTCCAGATTTGTCCCAAGGTCCCGTCACTCCGGCTTTTTTGTCTACGGGATCTGTCTGACTCTTTTGTGCAATCAAAGCACGTTACTGCTGCTGATCAGCCTGTTTGTTCACTTGCACCCTTCTTTTTAGAAGAACAATCAGATACACAGTGGTTTAACTCTCAAACTTGCTGTTTGGTATATTTGGGGCTAAGGGTTAATCTGGACAAACCATAGCAACAGGAAGTAGTTAGAGACGGTAATTGTTTTGGTAATGACTCAACATGTGGGCATTTAATAGTATTGTGAATAGGCCATTAGCTGTCTTGGTACAAGCAGCATCTCGTGATGAGAGCTCTTAAAAAGGCTTTTTATTTCTCACCTGTCCCCTCCTGTCGATTTCTTCATTCAGGATCTTCGTCCTCCAGGGCAGACGAGGACACCAGTTCTCCACCTGTTAAACAGAACAAAACACAATGTTTGACCACCTATTAATCACAAGAACACAGCTCGACAAAGAGGCGGGCACTTGAGAGCACATAATCAAATGATAAGATATTGATACTCCATCTTAAGTGCACAAGTCACAAGGTCTCTCAAGCCTTTTATATCACCTATCATGTGCACAACTGCGTGTAACACGATGAATGTTTAACTAGAGAGGCTGTCTGTTGTCAGCACATTTAAACAATGTTGTTTCCTTTCTCCACAGTGGTGGCTCATTCGATACAACTATGAACTCTTCTGCCGTCCAGCGAGGTCGAAGCCCCAACCCAACTCCTTCACAAATTCTATGTAAATAACTGTAATAACTGTGAAATCAAGCACCCCCATAAAAAGTTTTTCCAATCTCAGCAACTAAAGAGTAAAAACTGTTCTGTAGAGGCTGCAGGATACAAGCTAGGTGTGTGTATTCTCCTGCCCAATCCACAACACACACACACACACACACACACACACACACACACACACACACACACACACACAGAGCGCTACTTGAGCCCTGACCTTCCACTGTTGACATCCATCATGATATGTTGCTCTCCCTGGTTTGCCCCTCTGCAAGGTTAATGCGGTGGTCTACAAGTATGAATTATACATGGTGTGTGTTTGAGCTCGAGTGTCTGTGTTCTTAGCAGACGAGCCACGATGGATTCAAACACCCATCACAGCTGTTTCTCTATGGAAATGCATGCATGTTGCCGTGGCAACTGTGTGATCACATGAGCAGCGGTGGATGCTGAGACACACAGAGATAGAGATGCATCTGTTCTGAATTTCAACTGTAAGTTATAGCAGAAAAAATCTGTTTGTTCCCTGCGTGCATGGAACAGGAAGAAGAAGGTTTCTCCTCCTAATGGATTTTGCTGTTGTCCATCTTATTTTTATTTCCACATGGAGCAGGCTGAGCTTTCTCTGCTCCTTTTTTACGTGGCTGCAATGCTTTCAGCTCGTATACAATATTCATAACAGGCCGCTGACCTTTTCCAGACTTGAAATCTTATTTTTTTCTTGGGTTTTCTTCCATTAGCAAACATTTCTAAAACGACAAGGACGAGCTTGCCGCCGAAAAAACTTGACAAACACTCGATGAAACAACATGTTTGCTGTGAAAGAGACACTGTAGAATCGACTGTGTATCAAACAGAATAGTAATGGTGACTATGATCTACAAAGGAACAGTTGCATCTTATTGAAGCAGAGCTGAGGATATGAGCATTTAAAGAGCCAGCTTTGAAAACAGTAAGGTTTGTATTCAGAAGGTGATGGGGGTAATTTCCATTACCTGATTGAATTTTAGCTGCATTTCAGGGATGAATGGAAGCCATTAAAAACAAGATGAGAAGCAAATATTAAAACCCCTTTCCCCCCAATTTGATCAATTTCGAAATCAGATTTCAATTAGAATTAAAGACATGAATATCCAGCCGTGGCATGCCACAGAGAAATCATGCAAAATTGAGCATCTCAAAGTGTCCCCACAAGCTTCTATATGTAAATGCTCGTCAATAATGTAAGATCTGGCTGCTTTTTCCTGTTTGCCGAGGATATGTAGAGACAGAGTCGTCTCGGAGTCCTGCCTCGTAGGCTTAAATGTCATCTCTTCAAGAAGTACCTCACACCAACCCATCATCTCCACCCACCCAATCATCTCCTCTTTCTCCTTCACTGTCGTCTCCTACCAGCTCTAATTTGCTCTCATGAAAAATGAAATCCTCTCTCCCTCTCCTCTTATTTTTAGCACTTCCGTCTTATGCGATCGTTCTCAGGTTACAGGAACATTGTGAGGGCACTTTGTGTTACATCGGTTTTTCTGCGGAGGATATACTAATTGCATCTTTTGTACGGAATAATAAGGTGTAAATTAGTAAAATGTTAAATGCATGAGTTCCTATTACATTTATTTCACACTACATGGCAGTTATTTATTTCATGTAGATAATTACTACAGCACCAAATGTGTGTTATTCTTTATGTTAAGACTTGTCATGCATTTTCTCTGTCTTTCCTGCAGCTCCAGCTATGATTTTTCCATAACACTCTTCCTTATCCTCAGTTTACCTAAGGATACTTAAAAACTCTGAAGATTTCTGATTTTGAAAAATAGAAGTTCATTTAAAACTAGGTGTGATCTGCCAAATTTGTTGAGAAACCATATTGTGCCAAGAGCAGTGTGGTGCAAACATTGATCCTGTAAAAACTACCTGCACCTCTGGATCAAACTAACTCACAGTGAGTGAGGTTCCAGAATATCGTTTGTTAAATAAATAAGTTTGGTTACAATGAACACACAGGACTCACCTCACTGAGATAGATGAAGTAGGAGCAGGTGGATCCATCCACGCCGTAGTTGGAATAGCAGGAGTCTGAGCGCCACATCTCCTTCATCCACTGAGGAAGAGGAGGAAAAGGCAAGATCAAAGTCTGAACCCTGCACAGTCAAGCTTTAATATCAGGGGAAGTAGGTGAGCCCACAGTGTTTCAATAGCAAAAAAAAAAACAGCATTCTTTTCTGAAGAGAAAAGGCAGCTTGTGTGATGGTGTGTGGGCAGGTTGTGATGAGAGAATACACAATGCACACTTCATCCATACCACCAGCCACCTAACCAGTTTTCACCAACCTTGTGGAAATAATCTAGGCTGTACAGTTAGGAGACGAGACTCACTGGCTTCCAATGGAAAATTTAGGTTGTGAAAATAAGAGACAGTTGAGACAAAGTGAGGTTGTTCTGGGGCAGCTCTCGTGTGCATGTGAGGAAATAAATCAATGTAGAAATGGCCTTCGATTGAAGAGGTTTGAACATTTGAAAAGAAAATATTCCTCTCTCTTCTGATTTGATCCCTGGCTGCCACGTGTCTGTGCCATGACTGACATTCTAGTATACATGCAAAGAGAAAAGGCTATCAGCTAAGATGCAGAGTGACAGGTATCCTGCCTTATTCATAGACTTGAGTACATCGTGCATGCTGACTGACAGTAACCCAAAAGGAGCAGCGCACAGGGAAATGTAAAAATTGAGTATTGCAAGCTGTTATCGAGAAGGGACTTGGCAGATGGGCTTGGATGAGACTCAGTTGGATGATGACGGCATGAAGATTGTAGTATTTCTGTTGAAATGACAACACAAGAACTCTATAACCTGAGAAAATGGATTTGTCAGAAGTTGCAGAGTGAGGGGTGATGGTGTAACTGCTTCGGAAAAACCAGAACAGGTTCTGCAGTTGTGTGTATGTGTGTGTGTTTGGCATCGTGTGGCACCCAGCTGGAAATGCTGACAGTATCAGTGCAGGACTGGGACTGGCTGAGCAGATGGTGTGTATGATATGGTCGTATCAGCTCCAGGGAGACACACACACACACACACAGAATATCGGAGACATTGGATGAAGTTGTGTGTACATCTGTGTGTGTTGTTTGTGAGCATGCACCTGTGTCTCCGTTGGCTCACTAAGGCCACATTGTCCCTAAAACTGAAATTAAACCTATGTGACATTTGGTCTTGCAGCCCACACACGCACATCAGGGCTGTATGGATGGAAAATGAGAGTTTGTATTATTATCGCAAAGGTCTTCTAACTAATATTGTTTTGATTAATCCTGTATTTTCAATAAGAAGTAGAATCAATTTAAGAGAAATTAAAAGATATTTAGTTTGTTGTCTGAATTAGAAATGATGGATGCACATACTGGCAAAACAACACATGTGTGCACATGAGCATTGGCTCATGCTTTTCCTGCCAGTGTTGCTATGATTACAATCACTAGAACACTGTCTGCAGTAGTGTATAATTCATCATGATTGTTAACTTGAAAGGTTATAAAGCAGACTAGTCATAAAATCATTTGCAAAAAGGTGCCACTTTACCCACGGGTGACATGGGATAGTGATGATAAATCCATAACGGAGTCAACCAGCTGAGTAAACAATGTCTATTTCACAGTGATCTACCAGAAGTCCCTGAGTGAATTAAGTGAGCTCAGTGTGTTTTATTGCTCATGAATTGAATCGAAGAGAAGTGTTTTAATTCATCTATCAAAAAGTGCACACTTCCACTTTATAGATGGATTTTTACAATTTTTAACAAGCAAATCATAACTTATAACTTACTGCCTTTAAAACTCCTGCATATCAAATCAACACGTTATATTAACTGAACGGAGGCCTCACTGCTGATGCTTTTACACTGTGGTGTAAATGTTGTTAAATACTAAAGGGGAATTCTTCTACATTTCCCAGCAGGTAATTTGTCAGTCAAACACTGTGGGTGTGGACTGTACATAAGATGCCATTGGTTCTTTTTGTGTTTTCATCCTCCATGCCGAATTCCTCTTTTATTTACTTTCTCTAACAACCTACTCAGAGTCATAAAAAAGCGTGAAAGACAGACACTGAGATGGAGAGGCTGTTTTTGTTTGAGTGTTTGTGTGTGTGATTCACCTTGATTTTGCCCTCGCAGTGAGGGAAACCATCCAAGGACGGCAGCTCACACTTCTCCTGGGCTCCATTTAGGAGGTCTGAAGGAAGAGGGAGAGAAGGGAGGAGAAAATCAATAAGGTCATGATGGTCAGCTCCAAAAAGTCTTCCACTGTCTGTAGCTTTAACAGGACATATTATTCTCACACTGGAGACAAAACTTTAACATTTCAGGAATAAGTGCATCTGTCCTGCGGCTCACAATGCCCTCCCCCCTCCGGGGTCTGAGGAGTTCTAATAGGAAGGAAAAGCAGGTCATAGAAATAATTGCCGTCCCCGAGCCAAGACCATAAGCAGGCATTTTTAGGTTGTTTTTGTAAAGCAAAGGTGACAACATTTCCTTAATGACTCAACATTTTGTTCCTTTGGGTTTGGTTTACTTCCTCATGTTTCCTCCTGAATAATAACAAGGACACATACAAGCAAAGACAAGACAAGATACTGAAGGCTCCACGGCATCTCTTAAGACCTGTAGGTGACACCATACAAGCTTTGAGTGAACTTGCTAACTATTGGAATTGCCATGATATTTTATATACACAGTACACCTTTTATCTAGCACCATAATCAGGTTAAAACCTTAACAAACATATTCTGCTGTTGTGAACACGTCTGACCCCAACAATCTCCTGCCGGAGTCTTCATCTGTGAACGGCAAACTCCAGAAAATGTTCAGAGCCAATTCTCAAGGCATTCATGTCTGAAATCTGCTTAAGTTTGCGGTAGAATCTAAGCACTTCAGGTCAGCTGCATCATCTCTGTGAGCCTTTGGACTGACAGCTGAAGACTGCCCTTTACTCTGAGGTTAGGGATGACTGTCAGTCAGGAGGAGAGCCTTTGACTTAACTGCGACAAAATCCACAAAGAGCTGAGAGCTGGGTCCATGAGTCCACAGTGATGCAAACACAGATCGAGGCGCATTTAAGACAGAGTTTTTCATGAAATGTAAACTTTTTACAAAAACAAATCGTAGAACTGCAGCGGAGGAGGGAGTCCCTCTGATATCTTATCCACACGGCTTTGAATATCCCAGGAAAACAACATCACTGTAGGATTAACATTCAAGGCTTGCCGTCAGCTTCCGCTCCATATAATCACCTTTCTGATACCCTGTTCAGAGACGTTAACGTCATCACCACTGACCTTTATATCTTGAATATAAATAATGCATCGCAGTAGACTGTGCAGCGAATAGATAAAAGCTTTGAGGGAAATGGCAGACTGATGTAATGAGTTTGTGGGTAGTGTTTTAGGAGGGTGGGTGGGTGTGTGTGTGTGTGTTTTTGTGTGTGTGTGTTGAGGGAGTTGTGTGTATGAAGCTAATCAGCGGCCGCAGCGCTAGGTCATGCTGGGTGGGTGGAGGGTGCAGCATCATGTCCAGTGCTCTTATCACCTAGATTTGAGTTAAAAATATATTTCACCCACAACCTCTGGTTCGCTGCCTCGGTGCGAAGCCGGAAGGAAAGAGGGAAAAAAGAGAGGTGATGACCTGCCACAGAGAACTACAAGTAAATACATCACCAGTTAGATTGAATGCTACCAACACAGGTTATTCACTGCTTCAGTCGCCATCTCAGAAGGGAGGAGAGACTGTGTGGCTATATCAGGGTTTGAGCTACAATGCAACAACGCTGTTAACAGGCAACACAATAGTTAATCAATGTTTGATTGTGCGAGTAAACAAATAATTGAAGATACAGAGTTCAGTTATTATATTTGTGTACAGTCGAAAGGAGAAGTTTTCAAACTATGACCCACGTCTTCCAAGAGGGGCGCTGGAGAGAGAGGTCAACGCGATGTCCCAGAAACAACGAGAAGTAGTTGTTTTGTCCCCTTGGTTTGTCCCAATTATCCATGCGGTCAGCACTTCTGAGCTGCAGTAGTGGCTGAGACCCACACCGTTCAATTAAGGTCCTCCATAACTCTTAGCCTTGACTCTTAGTTGAAGATGAAATTCTGCCAAATGCCATTAAATCCTAATATACAGACATGATTTACTTACTTTGATCATTCAATATGACAAAATGTATTTCAAGGGTATATGGCCCATAAGACAAATCATAACTACAAAAAAAATACCACCACCAAGACCCAACAGTCCCCTAAAATTCAATCAAGCCTCAAATCTAAGCCAACAAAATAATGCAGATCATGAAATTACAATCCCCATTGCAGAAAAATGATAGGTTGATAAATAGACAAACTAAGTCAAAGCAAATGAACACAGATTTAAAACCACTAGATTCTAGAATAGATATCAGTCCCCAAAACACGCCTGTATTTTTAGCAGGATCCATGAATCATTCCCACAGAAATTAGTGAACATGTCAACAAAAGATGTATCACACAATTTAAAAAAAAAGTCCTGCTCCTTTTATGGGTGTCATGTGGTTCCACCGAATTTCACTGGTATCTTTTCTCTAGAGGCATATCTGCCCTTTGTAGAATTCTTTCACATCCATGTTATGCAATTGAGAGTTTTTTTAAACAAATCTGTCGTCACATCTTGTTTCTGTTTCATCAAACTATGGGGACTGTTTATTCAAAGTTGTATGTTTATTTAAATGACTGTTTTGAGCCGTGTACAAAAGCGATGAGCGTGTTGCTGCTCTCTCATCCTTCAGATGCTCAGTCATCCAGTTAGTTCACCAACCAACCAAACAAACAAACAAACAAACAACAAACAAGCAACTGGGCAGCCTGTCATTCACTCTGTCACTCAGCCAGCGAGTACCAAAGCCACGAGGCAAATCTTGGAGCTTTAATCAAGCAGAAGAAGCTGCTGCCAAGGACCAACTAAATATAGCTCCTTTCATAATCAAACACAGGAGAGGTGCTGTTAATTCAAAGGGAGCCAATTCCTCATCCTTCACCTCCAACGTAGCAAACAGAGAAAATGATTCGTCACAATAGAAAAGCTTGATTACTTTCACTGTCCGGTAACATGCATTACTGCACATGGTTGAAGCAACACACCCCGGCCGAGTGTTCAGGAGCATCAGAAGAGCGTTAACTGACCAGAAGAATTCATTTCAAACCTTAAGCAAACTGAGCAGGAGCCTTATGTGCTCTCTGACAGACGGAATGAAACTGACGAGAGTGATGAGGGGTGATAAACCAAATCACACCTTGCTTTCGCAAACACAGGATACAAAGAAAAGGCGGGTAAATGGAATAAGATAGCACAACATTGACAGCCCTTATTCAAATAGCTGCAAATAGGCAGAGGAAGTGGTTGATCTGTAACAGAAATAAGCAAAACAGCACCACAAGGAGTTAAAGAAATAGAGAAGCACAAGCAGAATATAGAAGTAAAAACAATGCTTTAGAAAAGACTTATATATTGCCTCACACGATGATTGTGCAGATTTCCAGTCTCACCAAACTGGTGTTACCGAAACACTTCTAAACTTTAGCTGAACTGTTGCAACGCTGTTCATGTGCTGCAACAAGTTATGTTAATTCTATTTTCTCAGTCATGACTTCATCCAGAATTTTTTCAATAACACACTTTAGGACAAAACATTGCAAAAACAAGTGCTATCCAGCTGACGACACCAGCAACCCGCCTCCCTGTTTGTTTTTATTCTGGAGTCACATTTGATGACTTTCCAAGCCTCTCACAAACCATTTATTTCAACTGCAAGCGTTCTCACGCTTAAAAACTGAAGAATTGGTTACACCTGTTGTTATGTCTGTGGTCGCCCCGTGTTTTTTAAAATCTGTTAAGTTTTGAGAATCATCTTGTAACAGGCGTAAGAATGCATGTACAGAGAAGTAGAAGCAGGAAACAGATGAGATCACTCAAAGATGTGTAAGATGTTCAATGGCCTCACAGCACTGAGGTCACCATTAGCAAGCTGCTAGCTCTCTGATAGCCCTTAAAATAGCAGCGTCTCTGAACGACAATGTGATGTTACACCACAGGGTTATTTTTCCTTTTCCTTCTCGGGTGCATTTGTCCAACTCTATGAGGTAATCCCACCTTCAACAACTCCAGAATTGGATTGAGCACATCTGGTTTATGCTACATCTGGTTTCTGTTAGTCTCTCTCTCTCTCTCTTTCTCTCTTGTGATCTTCTGACTTTCTTTTTTGCTTTCACTGATTTCATTTACAGGCACTGGACACTTTCATGTCTCCCTTGTTCGGTTCGGACCTCATGATTTTTCTGATGCTGGTATTAATACAATAATAATATTACAGTGGCAAAAGGAAAGACCACTACCACTGAATTGACGAGACGCCGGCGTCGGACACATGGTCGGACGCAGCTCACATAGGTGATGACGACGTTGAAATTAATGATGTACCAATAATCACTACGGTGATTCAGCCGAGGAAAAAACCTGAGAGGGTGAAAGTGCAGCTTTCCCCGTCTGTGTGTTCTCTGATCCACTGGTTGAGAAGCACTAATTTTAAATGCACTTTGCAAGACGATGCAGAGGTAACGGTGTGTGAGTTTGCATTCATCTCAGCAGCAGCTCATCCATTAGACAAAAGGCAGGCTGGCTGATGGAGGTTGTCCTTTCAGCTAGAGATGGAGAGAAGATGGGCCTTTACCTAGCCTCACTGGGTCAAACACTGGCAAATCAAATAATCTATACAGTCGCCAGACCATAGACAGTTTAAAATTGGACGACGTGTTTCTGCTTCAACCCACTATCCAGAAATGAGGCCAAATGCTACAGGCTCTACGATGACATACAAGAATGAAAATTCAAGTGAAAAATGATTTGTCTCCATCGTTTCATCTGACTCTGGCACCAAGGTTGAGAAAACACTAGCTCTTTCATTTTTATCATATGAATACTTTAAGCTTAACAACTTAATAGTGTTGGACCAGAACCATCAGCATTTAGATCAAGCAAGTGATGAAAAATACGATTTGCCAAATTAAGTTGCCGGCAGCTGTTTTTTCAGTGTCAGATAGATTTTCAATAAACTTTTAGGTAAATATAAGAAGCAGGTCGGACTCAGAGTCGGCAGATAGCCAAAGCCAAAGGACTTGGAATGGGATCAAAACAATTAGGACACCCCTA